CTGGTGGCGGCCGTGCTCCGTGGGGCCGGCCCCGTCCCATCCCTTGACCCGCGCCGGGCGGTACCTGCGCGGGGTGCGCGGCCGCGGGCGGCTCCGCGATCCACAGCTGCTCCTTGAGGAGGTGCTGGTAGCTGAGGCAGTGCTTCAGCGCGGACGGCACCGTGCCCATGGCTCGCCCGGCAGCCGCCGCCGCAGGGTGGGCGCAGCCTCCCGGCCCGCGCGCGAGCAGCCCCGCGATTGGCGGAGCGCGAGCGCCGCCGCGTCCCCTCCCGCGCGGCTGCGGCGGCCGCCGCCTCACACCCGCCGGCCCCGGGGCTCGCCTCTTAGCTCTCCTCGCCTGCTCCTCTCGCCTCCTGCCCCCTTCTCGCCTCCTGCCCCCTTGGCCTTCTGCCTGTCCTCGCCTCCTGCCCCTGTCGTCGTCCCGGCTGAGGAGCCGCGGCCGTGGGTGGCCGCGCTCGCTGCGGGCTCGGCGGGCGCCGCAGCAGCCTGCAGTCGCGGGGTGTGCGTGCGGGAGAAGCCGCTGAGGAGAGCCGGGAGGGCAGAGCGTGGGGACCGCCAGCCGTCGTGCTCCACGTCCCCCCTGGCGCCCGACACGCCCCCGGGACACCGGGCCCAGCCTGACCTGGCAAGGCTTTGGGCAGCAGGGGGGAAAGAGAGGAGCAGGGAGAAGGGTCAGGGCTGCTTCCAGACCAAGCCTACGTGTCCTGTTCGGCGTCCCGGAGCTGGGCAAACGATGCAAGATAAGCATTGTCGTGCTCGCTCGGGCGTCCAGGTGACACGAGGCTTCGTGCTCACACTGGCATTTCTGCTTTCCGTTTAGGTAGCAAAAACTTAGAGCATAGCAAATAGAGTACTGTTCACGTTTCAACAGCTTTCTCCACAGCAGCAAGTTATATTTTGTCTGTTCCCTTTCATTGTGTCTGCCAACTTTCCAAACTCCTCTCAAGCACAAATTGTTTCTGGATCATTCCTTTTCTGGGGTATCAGGGATATTTGGTTAAATTTATTAACCTTTCCATCGATCATTTGCTGCAAAAGATTATCACGTTTACCAAGTCTCTGTTTCAGTTTTTCACAAATAGACATGATGCTCTCAAAGCTCCATATTTCTTTTGCAGGTTTGCATTTCATCTTTGTTGTGCTGTACATCTAAAAGTTGTATTTCCACAGCCATTGTAAATCAAAACTGGATGCTGATTGATTGGCTGGGAAGCTTTTATTTTTCAAGGATAATAATGGCTTTTCAGAAATAAGATATTTAAAATACAATGTAAAAAATTAAAAATATTACTGGTGTTCATCTTTGCAATTTCAAATCTGGCCACTGAAAAGTGCCAGGAGGTTTTTTTACTGACTACTGTCTGATGCAGTTAGTATCTTTTCTGCCTTTTTTCCAGTAAAATATTTGTGAATTCAACATTATTTTATTTTCACAGTTCAAAATTCCACTAAGCTTCCATTAAATGCTTGCTCTAGGTACTTGCTTTGGTCTTGTAACCTCTATAGTTAGGGATAAAATATAGAGATGCTGGCAAAAAAATCATGCCTTTGTTTTTTGTGTCTCAGTGAGAGAAAGTTTATCAATGATGTGGCATATGTGAAGGGAAAGACTTTGTTAAGATAAAGTTAATTTCTTTATTATAATAAAATTAAATAGTTAATTAAAATTAATAATTTCATTTTCACTTTTCTGTACATTTCATAGACAACTGAAAAAAGGATAAAAACTGCAATCACAAGCAAGAGTATGTGAATAAAGTGTACCTCTCCTACCTCCCCTGTTCTCTAGTTACTCCAGTTCCAAAGTCAAATTTCATATGACCTTTAATCATCTGTCTTACAAATACCTCTGAAATTAGCTGCATTGTAATGCTTTTCAGGTAGCTTATATGTCAAACTGCTATTTTCTCCACATTAAATCCCTTCTAATGGTATTGTTTTTTGTCTGTTACTGTTTTGTTTTTGTAGGGTCTAAAACCTTGGTGTGCTCTTCCAGCCTACATCCAGTGTAAATGTTTACTGTCACAAACATGCTTCAAGACTCAGAGTGCTACCACGTATGCTGAAAAAGAATATCTTTATCTGAAATCCCGGTGTTGTTGGGCAGAGAAGGAAAATACAACATAGACATTGAAAGTAATTCTAAACTGAGTTCTCATGCAACAGTTTCTCATTGTTTCTTTTCTGTTCCACCTCTCATTCTCCCTGCAATCAGAATTTGTTTTTCACCCTTGCCGATTTTGCACTGAATTTTTCAACTGGTCCTTCTAAATGCAAGGAGTTGTTTCAAAAACAAGAGACATATAAATAAAACACATTCATCTGAAACACACACGTTTCTTGGGAGAAGGGTGTGATAACTTTTTCTACTGAAAAGGGCCCTGTGTGTTAAAACCCTCAGAGCTAAAATGGATTGTTGTTGCTGAACATGAGTCATATTGGACAGCACAGAGAGAAAGAAGCTCCAAGAGGATTGTGTCTTAGGCACACAGAATCATCTTGATACTCTGCTTGCACAGGCTACAAAACTTACTCCACCCCACTTTATCAAGTTAGCATGAAGGCAGATACCCTCATCCTGCGATAGTACCAGTATATTTCTTTAAAAATTGAAGGGTTTGCAGGGTCATGTAAAGAGCAATGGATAAGGGGCTGGCCGATCTTTCTGTAACAGCAAGTGGGCCTCTCGTGGTCTGGACTTTTATGTGCCCTGTGCTGCTCCTTATTTTATTTCTGCGTATCTTTTGTTCAACAACAGCATTTTGCAGCCACTTCAGTTTACTAGAACACATGGAAGGGCTCAGATGTGTTTAGTGCTGTATAAGGATAGTGAGTAGAAATTGTGCACAACTGGCTTTTGGCTTTCCATCTGTCTCTTAAAACTGTTTATCATTGTGATACTCCTCCGAATTTATCATTGTCATTGGCTCGCACTGTGTTCTGGTCAAAGGTTTTAAAACGTTTATTAAAAGGAATGCTTTTCACTAAAATAAATAGTATCTCATAGAAGTCATGCCACCATGCCAACCAGATGGTGAGAACAGGCATATTTGTGTAATATGCAGAGTAACTCCAAACACTATCACAAGAGATGTTTCTGTACTCCTTATTGTTCCCATGCAGTTACACAGGTAGTTGGCAGTCAGATCATTAGTGGAAACATAAAGCTGTTGGATTTCCTGCAGTGTGACACAGAACCTTGGCCAAGAAAGGCATGGTAAAAATAGGTTGATCGTTTATAAGCATCTAAAAGAAAATAAGAAAGTTGTTTAAAGAGTGATTTGATGACAGCAAGAAGGACAGAATCAGAAGCAAGGGAGCTATTCATACTGATGATAATCATAAGTGCCAAACTGGCAAGCAGCCAAAGTGCCTACTAGGCAGGGATCAAAGACACATATGGTGAGTCTCAAACAACAAGTAAGCCATAGAATTCTGGCAAGCATTGCAGAAATAATATGCTCCAGCCCTGACAAAGATGAGGGCTAAAAAAAAAAAACAATGGGGCTACCAATACTGGATCATACCTCAGGGAAAGCAAAGCTTTCATCGTTTCAGTTTTATTGGAGAAAAATGTAGATAACTTCTCACATATGGTAGGTCTGGTTGATCTAAATTGATGGGAAGTGTAACACAATGTTAAAAAAAATCCTTTACAGTTGTGGCATTAAATCAGTATTCCATTAGCTGCAGCATCATTCGGAGACAGCATTCTTCAGAGAGTTAGTAATAGATTTACTTTGCCAAAGTAAAACTATATCCCAGGTGATAGACACCTGGCATTTGAAACACACACAATCAAGAAGAAAGTCCAAGTTCATGTCTTGTCAGATGTTGGAGCCTGTTCTTTTCTATTCTTTCACTAATTTGGTCAGATGGCAGGGTTTATGACAATTAGAGCACAATGTAAAACAAGCAGACACAAAAAGGGGCACATTTTAACTTTATTCTCACGCTACTATGCAGCATCAAATAGGAAAAGAAGGAAATTCTGTGAGTTTAGACCTGCTTTCATAGTTGTACACCCATACACAGAGTCATTATAAAGGGGATGTGTCATAGGCTGTGTTATTTTTCATTTTTAAAGTGTGCTGGCTTTTACACTGGCAAGAATGGTACTCGGCAGCCCTTTGGGTCTTTGGGTGGTCTCCAAAGAACCAGCACTACATAGCTACATAAAATTGTGATGAGGCATATCAAGGACGGCAGAGAATTGTAGCAGAAAGTGCTTATTTATGGCTAACCTTTTCCATTTGAGATATTTCCATAACTGACAGAAATGCTGCTGAACCGAATGTGTTCCTTGTCTGACTCCATCATTTAGACTGGAATTTCTTTGTCTCAGTGACCCGACCTACCACTCGACAGTATCAGGAGAAGCTATGAGCCAGTTCCTGAATGGATTTTCAAGGTGCTATTATAATATTTAAGAAAATATTTCCTTTTCAGAGCAAGTGTTTTTCCTACTGTTATATAGACTTTGTTTACATCTCTTTTTTTCACATCAATGTACTTAGTATCTGCATCTCCACCAAGCCTCCTCTGCCAATAAATACTGCCATGATTTCTTATAGGGATTATAAGGTGCAATATGCAGTAACCTCTGGTTTCCTTCCTCTCTTTATGTTATTAAGAGACGACAAAATAGTACTGATTGTTACTGAAGCCAGTTTTCTTGTTTTTCAAAAAAGTAACTCTTTTACATCATGTAGGATAAAGAGAAACTATAAATTACTCATAGGAGTAATGTTTATTGGATAAAGAAATGCTGTGACAGCTTTTATGCTATATCCATTGCTTCTCAAATAGAGAGCAATTATCAGAGTTTAGTCAAAACAGAACAAAATAACCACCTGAAAATTGTACCTCTACTGCATTCTGGGAGTAGTGCTTTCCAAACAGGAAAAAAGAGTTAAAGACCTGAACCTTTTCTGTTCTCTTAGGGAAAAATTATTCTGATTTATTTTAAATATATATTTTAGTATCAAATGAGCCATCTTCTACAAACCATATGCAATTTCTCCAATTCAAACTTGTCCAGCAAGTGTAAATGAATTAGGCATTATCTAATAAAGCACAAGTGTATGTATGTGCTATGAACCCAAAAGCTAAATTTACATGTTCTTTTTTAATTTTATTCTTCTAATTACTAAGTTAGCACACAAAACATATTTTGTATACATACCAGAAATAAGTGTTTGAGGGTTTTCTGAGACATTTGCCA